ATTTTCCCTCAAGGAGAGCAGAAGCGCATCTCCCTCGAAAAAAAACCATGGTCATCAGGAATCCAGCTAAGAAACATGAGTGCTGAAGCTTACACTAACTTCCTCATGCTAGGCAAAGGGGAATGCGGTCGTTTGGCGCGATCACGTTGCATTTCACGATTCTGACAGGTAATGGTACGGGTCTACCAAGTTGGACAACTCGTCCGAATCGCTTAACGATACGATTCTTGCTACTGTTGCTTGCATGAGGAAGTTAGTGTAAGCTTCAGCACTCATGTTTTTTAGCTGGATTCCTGATGACCATGTTTTTTTTCGAGGGAGATGCGCTTCTGCTCTCCTGAGGGAAATCCATGAATTCCTCTCAAGCAATGCAAATGCTAATAGAAAGTACCTGGATCGCTGTGAGCGGGATGGTCCTGTAACAACCACCATGTGGCACGGTATCGCCCCATGTGTAGGAATCGTAGTTTGTCGGGCAGAAGCAGTTAGCTGAAAAACGTTCATGCAAATCACGTTGCGCTAGGAATGTTGTTAATTAGTATTCACATCAATTACAAGTGTCCACAACATTTCAAGCAATCTTTGTGCAAATTATGACTCTGAAAGATGTCACCTCTGCAGAAAGCTTGTCGAACATCCTCGTTGGTTAGATTACCGAATCGATTCGTGAATTGGAAAGGTCCTGGGCTGGCAAGGTTACCAAGCAATGGTACAACTGCACCATGTTCTTGCACGTATTCTGAAATACTCATAAGTAGAGTAGTAAGAAAAAAAAGGGCAAAAAAAAGTGAAAATGGCTATATCGACAACTTGAGCGCAATCCCTTTGATTACGTCAACTTCTGTTTTTCTCTGCCCTCTCACATCTGCCTGACATTCTATGACTCTGTGACCTTACATTTATCAACTTTTGATCCTTATGGCAGCAGCAGTCCTCTGTTTCTCTATGCTCTAACTTTTCGCGTTAGTAATCCTGACAGGTTGTAGCTGTCACGTAACCGCGAATGTATGACAATTATAAGAGGTATGGTCTTTATATGCGTGCTAATAAGTGCTGAAGTCATCGTTTCAGTCAACTTTTCCCCAAAATGATCGGTGAATAGCCAAAATACATCTTTAATCGGCGGTTACAAATGTAGGCAAGGGCGTGGATTACCGGAACAAAGAGCATGCTGGGTGTGTAATTCTAATAATGTATTCCTTTAGAAACACGGGAATCCGATTGAAAGAAGTGGGTGGGAAATCCATAACGACTGTGCCTTCATCACTGTTGCCCCAGTACTCTACAACATTGGATGTAAGGGCGTACCAACGAAAAAGGTAGAATCGTTGTGAGTATCCGTCCTCGCGATTATCGCGGATCGCAGTTGAAACTTGAACAATGATCCCAAAAGCCTTCTAAGAAAAAACCGCCATTTGCAGCTAATCCATATTTTTGACGCCGGACGATGACGTTGTTTAGCAAAAAGAAGTAGCACTCACAAACCCGTCTACATACCGAACACTCCAACGGGACAGCTTGTAACGCGGCAGCTTCTCCTCTAATGTCACCTTCTTATATAAAAGATATGCCAGCATTACTGACATGCCAAAGATTTCGAAATATTTTGCTATACCGGAGTCTCATTTTATCTGAGTGAATGTCTGGTAACAGTGTGAAATCCCAGATTGTTAATTTCAGAAAAAGAAACTTCGAAAGACACCAGACTTCTTGTTCCAGTACTCTTTACTATTACTACTCTCTACTTCTTGTTCCACTTAGATAGTATAACAAATGCACAAATGTGACTAACATCGACTACTCACCCAATCAATGCACTTATCCTGCACTCACGAAATAGCCAATCCACCGTGATCTTACGAAGTGATGCGATGCTTTGAGCTCAGTCAAATGGCGATCTGCATAATGTCATATAGTTCCTCCCTGTTGTTTGTTTCGGGTATTAGCCGCGTTTGGTCTCTAAAGCCCTCAGTACTTTAGTGTTCAGTCAAAAAAATACTGGGTTCTCTAGAAATAAAACGGCTACTACGTGAAATAAACTACAGGAACGAACTTGTGATATTATGCAAATCATCACATGGTTGTGTTACAAAGTACCCCATTATTTCAGGGTATGATCAGGGTGGGTCGGCTATGGAGGCTGCAGAGTAAGCGCATTGATTGCTGGAGCAGTCCGTGTAAGCTAAATTTGTACATTTACTATACTATCACTGAAACAACAAGTAAAAGTCTCAGCTTTGACGAAGGTGCTAGGCACCGGAATGTTGGAAGATAATTGAGTTTGAAAGACTTCTAGTAGTTTGGTGTTGGACAAGACTCATAGAGTTTGGTGTCTTTTGAGTATTTCGAAATGGATATCTTGTGTTTCGCACCCCTACCAAACATGCAAAGAGCTGTAAATTGACGAGAAACTGGGTGTAGGCTGAAGGCGAATATAGTGTAGTTCGCTGCGGACGGTTGGGCTTGTCAGGCAGGGTAAGTTTGGATCGGTGCCTAACGAATTCTGCACCAGTTGTTAAAGCGAGCAAATGGGGTATGTGACAAGAGGATCGTAATTTGCCGCGCTGCTGGGCGTCGCGTGCGACGTCCCGCCCGCAAAGGACGATGGTTTCAGGCAGTAGATGGCGACAACATGCAATTAAGGACCGAAAACAGTAATGAGTGTCTACGATGACGGGGTCTACATGAAGTCCGGTGCTTCATTCGACAGGTTAAAACGAGTTATGAAAACGCCGCGCCCATCGCCGCGCGTGGCGGTGCGGCGAATTACGATCCTCTTTACCGTCTCCCGAGCAAATGATATGACTGTATCACATCGTTCGTATTACTCGTTTTCTACCACTTTTTGTCGCATGCGCGCTTCAACAAGAAGGCAGAGAACGGCTTTGACGGGTGACACACTCATACTGCCTGACACGCCCAACCGTCCGCAGCGAACTAGAGTGTACTTCAGCACACTCTCTCTTTGTTCAAAAGGTCATGCGTACAGTACCTTAGGTTGACTTCAACCCGGAACGATGCTAAAGAAACCGTAGCTGGAAATACCTTACCTACGGTAATAATGATACCACCATCCTCTTTGAACGTATCCGCTACTTTGGTAGGATCGCTGTATTTTCCTGTCCTGGAAAGATAAAACTGAGGAATATCCCAGCTTCTCTCACCTTGTAACATCAGAATTACTGTTGCAAGTGTTTCACTTTTTTGTGCCTCACGAGGTTTTTATTTTAAGAATGGTTGACGCTTGATACACGTTCAGGCCTCTGAAGACGACGGTTCAGTCGAGACGTCAGGTCATATTGAATTCCTACCACTTAACAACCTAGTAAAGCACAAAACAAGCGAAACACATAAAACTTAAGATTTTCGATTGGAAAGCAGTCAGTCAAGAATACTAACTCAAATGGGAACATAATAGTCGAAACTGATCTCTCATTCGACAACCAAACTTACTCGTAGGCAGACGCCACAATGACAATAACTTTTTGTGCATTTGATCTGTGTTCCGGACTGTTGAAACGATCAGTAGCCAACTGGATTCCTCTGAAAATACGGAGATTGTTTAGGCTGCTTCACATTTCACGACTCAATCATGCGACTTCGACCAACACAGCACTCCATTGCCAATTTTCGGAGCGTTGCAAAGACGGAAAGAAGTTGTCTTCTGCAGGGAATAGGCTTGCAGTTATGACGAGCCAACGATTAGCGGTGGAGCACGATTCGTCAAGGCGTCGCGACACGGATAATTTTTCAAAAAGTCGGACAGGTTTTTATTAATATGCGGACTGCCGCTAGATGACCTGGACTAATATTCGACAACCCTTCGGTTGAACCAACTTCAGAGTAAAACGTGGAGATTGAGCCAAAAGTAAGGTATTGTAAAATGGAAAAATGTGAACCACAGGATGAGACGGGAGTGAATCAAGAGTTCACAAGCTGCTGACAGGTTGTTCGGTATTCATACAGCGGATTTCTCGAAGGTGGGGCGGTCCTATGTCCACGTTGGCAAGCAGTCCTACGCCGTCGCGATTGATAATGGCTGATACGTCCGTTCGAACTGATTTCTATTGTTTTCAAATTCTAAAAGCCAAAATGTTATTCCTCCGGCTTTAATAAGGAAACTAAGTACGTTTTATCAAAGCTAAATTTCATTCTGCATGGTTTTAGTCGATAATATTGAAGTTAAACGGAGACATTCAAGAGAAGTTTGAAAAAGTGCGGTAATAGGAAGAAGTTAATTTTCTAAGAGAAATTCATGCTAAAATCATGCAAAATGTAATCTAGTTTCGGCAATCATAATTAGCATTCCGGATTGATGCCGAAAAGAGGAATAGATTCAGCTTCTACAAGCTGAATACAACAGAAAAACAGCAAAAAAGTACCGCAGAAATCAGCTGATTGGGAGCACCAGCAATTGTCAGTCGGAGAGAGTCCAGACGGAAGAGTGAGCAGATAGTGCAGCGGCGTATGTTCGAGCGCAAGGCAATGATGATAATCGCCCCAGGCCTCCGCCTTTCTACCGGCAACCGTCGGACCGCTCGCGACTCGCCGTATGTATGTGATTTACAGAAACTAGTATGCTGACAAGCGCGTACAGGTTAGCCCGCTCCCCTCAGAGTTATAAGCATATAAAATAAACAGTAGGTCTGCGCTGGATTCAACCTTCTGCTCGGAACTGCCGAAAAGGCACCTCTTCATTCCACCCAACTTTAGTTAGAAAAATAACAAAAAAAGAAAGAACACTGAACAGCACTCACGCTTCAATGTAGATCCATATTGAGGAGCATATCCATTGTTGATGCCCACCGAGTCAAATTGTACTGAATGGTTGCATCAGCTCCGTACAGGATAAAACTGTAATTCAAAACGTCATGAATCATCAAACACTTCACTGAAATGATCGATGAAGAACTAACCCAGCACGTGTTTGCTGAGCGTAATCCTGTCCGAGGGTCATTTTGGAAAGCACAGACTGGACGAACGCTGTGGCCTAGAAGTGGCAAAGTTTCTGATATTGTCACCTACAATGCTGTAGATTTCACATGCAATAGCGTACTATACACGGCACACGTCTGGTTAGAATAGTGAAGACGGTTGATACCTACCACCCAGCTGCCTCATAAAGCAGCAAAGCGCCTCATTCTTGATAAGGACTCCCTCTGGACAAAGGGATAATTTTGCAACCCCATTTTCAATGTGCCAAAAATAGGACGTTCGATAGTAAACTAGTAAAGTTTCGAAGATTCTGTATTATGAAACAAATAACAACACTGCCAGGCTGCGTTCATGCTTTATGTGGAAATTAGGGTAAACTAAAAGAATGCCCCCATCCCCCCTACTCCTCCTCGCAGGATTGAGTGGGAACTGATTATTTCCGCCACCACTACCGAACTCAGAGAGTGCACGAAGCAGAAGGAAGCGCGTGATCCATTTCCTTCTCTTCCTATGACGCGCATTTTTCCAACTCACAGGCCCCCATTTAGGTGGTTCTCCACATTTATTATGTTCAATTACTTATCACTATTACTTGCTAAGACTCTATATATGTCCATATGGCCTTATATATAGTATTAGGAAGCGTGCATTCAGGACACACGAGACATGGCACCGCGCGTGAACCAGCGACTGTTCCTTATTAGTTGACTCGACATGGTACTTCAGCACCAGGCAACTAGGTCATTTAAATCTGTAGCGCATAGCTGACGCTCCGCTACAGGAAATCTGACAACTTAGTGTTTTTTTTTCAAGTCCGAATCACTGACTGATTGAACACTCTATGACTAAAAATTGATTTGAATAATAAACGTGGTCTGAAGACGAGGCTCCAAACTTCGTAAGAGTGGGTTCATACTTCAAGGTGGGCCGACCCTGACAGGGGGGCGCTCCACCGCTAAACCGTACACCGGCGCGACGTCGGAATTCAAAATTGGCCGCGTTCACGCAGTGGGAGTTTAAGTTGTGCCGTTGCGGCGGTGCACGGTTTGGCGGTAGAGCGCCGCCGGTCAGGATCTCTCGACTGAATCGCGCGACCGTACACTATGAACGCGCTCTAGAAGAAACAATTTATCGATGCCCGAATATTTTAGAGGCAATCGTGAAATAATTGGTATAGCTAAGACTGTTTCTTTTTCAGTAGGACTGTCATGATTAGAATGAAATGGCGTCTAAGCATCTATAGTCCTCGAAAAGCTGGGTTGCGCGTGATGCCGCGCTTCAGATGCGAGCTGCACCCGTACGTCTACAAAGTAGAGGGGATTTAACTGATGAACCTGTTCAAATCTAGTTCAACATATTGAGTACAATTAGAGACACTACCAATTTTCCTCTGCGCCGTGCATTGGCTTCCTTTGGGAATTGCCGAGCTTGAATGTGTCAGATCTACTCAGTCGCTATAAAGTCCGGTCATTATTTGAGTGAGCATCTCTGCTCACCTTGACAAGCCCTCTTTTGATCCCGAAATAAATGATAGTGGATGCAAATTGATCCCGTCAAGAGAAAAGTGGCGTCCCTCGTGTAACGTGAGCAAGGATTCCACATACACTCAAGTTAAACCGCAACACGAAAGTACTCACACCATCAAATCCAGGGCTGGTCATGGCGAACGATGCATCCATGAGGAAATAGATATCCAGCCAGATGTTCTTATCAGTGCATTTACACTGATCGACAATTGGTGATGGTGCTGGCGTTGAAGGATTCCAGTATGAAGTAAACCCAACATTGCTGTTGTTGGGGTGGTTGATGGCGTTGAGGTGCTGGGTAATGGTGTATTGGTGGTTGGAGTCGATACCTTAATACTGTGCTGTCCCAGAGCCTCATTGTAATCTGAATGTAAAGCACATAAGAGGCGCCAAAAATTTTATTGCAAAAAACTCCATAGATCCAGAAAAATCCAATTTTCGCAGAAAGTTTTATTATTTTCATTCCTTCCTTCGAATAATCCGCGAGAAAGTGCTAAGCACCGAAATATTCGAAGGAAGGAATAGAAATAACAAAACTTTCTGCGAAAACTTTTGGATTCTTTTGAGTCTTTTGAGTTTTTTGCAATAAAATTTTTGGCGCCTCTTTTATGTGTTTTACATACGGAAGTCGATACCGTTGACAAGTTGGGCGCCCATGTTGTGTCTGTATAGTAAGCTTGGGACTGTATACTCAGCAGACCTGAAAGATGCATTGTGAGCTTTGACTATCCTACAGATTTCCTCATTACTCCATGGATGATAGCTATATTTATATGACCGAACAAATAAGAAAAACAACCTATTCATTTTGTTAATGAAGAAAACACCCACCCAGGAAAAGACACGTCGCCAAAGAAAGGCGAAACATTTCGGCGGTAGTGGTCGGCAGTAACTAAGCGTCTTTAAGTAGACGGACGACATCTTCGCCTAAACGGCGATAAACTTTACGAGCGATGAGGCACTGCTTGCTATCGCCTCTGTAAGATAGCTCTCTGACATCACTAACCTGCAATAAACGACCGTCTTTCTTTACTTGGAAGTCCACCATAGAAAAATATATTTTTCACGCACAGTGCATTTCTACCTCAATCATGTTCGTAGAAATGAGGCAATACAGCTCACCACAAGAGTTCTACGATCCAGTGTGATGATTTCAATGTTCCAGGGATATTGCATTTCAGAAGTACCGGTTTACTGAAACTGGTTTACTCTGATAGTTCCCAGGCGGGGAGGTGGACCTGAACCTAATGATATACTTTTGGTAAACTTAATGATACTCATAAGACATAATACATTGATTTCTTGATTATCAGCCAATCGATCTGCCCGAAAACTCGTCATGTTCAAGAAACAACTTTTAGGGAACCGTAATTCTACCTCGTCCAATTTCTAATGCTCAAAATGTTGCTTGAGATTTGCGCCAATCTTCAGTTAATGCTATCAGCAACTTTCATTCGTTATCAGTCGCAGTCATCACCGTGTGCGGGCAAGTTTTTATGGATAAGGTGTCAACGAATTTCCACTGGGTGATGATATTTCAAAGAATGGTCTCTTATTGGGTCCACTCTTTTTCCAGTCTCTCGCTAAGCAAGTAGAGTTACAGCGAGGACTTAGGAACTATGACAATGCCTCTTCGGGCCATGCACAGACTGAGCTCAACTGCAGGAGTACTTGCAAAACTTTTTTTGATCATGTCTCAATTTCTGAGACGTCTAGATAAAAATTAAAGGTGGTGATAATTGAGTGGTTTCTCCAGAAAATCTCGCCACGGTTCGGCAGCTGATTTTGGAGTGGATCTCGCCTGGCGGTTTCTGATTTCTGACTGCTCTACACACTTAAAACTTGCATACAGAAAAAAAAATGGAGAACTCCTTTCAAAACCATGCAATGTTCCGTGCCCGAGTCATATCCTCCAGTTTCAGCGAATGTAAAACACCCTTAGTAGTATTGCAACATCTCAACGGTTGAAGGTCCAAACTATGAAGTCTCGTAAATAAGCATGAAGTAAGGAAACAACATGAAAACCAAAAGTGCTGCTGCTTCATGGATGAGCTACGGGAGCTGTGACTAAGTGACAGTCGGCTTCCCATTTCACGGACTGAAACAACACTATGTGCTCATTCATTCATCGATGGGAACAGCTCCCTTACCCTTCCTAAGGCGTATGATACGATAAATTGGTATGCGTTCGAAAACAGTAGCAGGGGTGCTATGAAGGATAAAGGATAAAGTCTTCGCCGTTGATCAATCCCTTTGTGGGATGCGGCACGCATTCTACTTCCATTCAGAATCGTAGTGGCTTATTGAATGCGATGTGGCCTATACAATGACTTGCGGTGGCCAGCCGATGTACAAGTCAGTGTTTTATCCTCCCAGACAAATCTACTACCAATTCGTCCCCGGAAGGCAGAAGGTTTGGTTGACCTGGGCGGGAGCCGATTGGAGCCCGGACCGCGTGCGTGGTAAGCTGTCACTTGCCACTAAACTACCTCCATTGTCGGTGCTTTGGTTTGAAAATCACAAAAAGAAAAACAAAAATAAATGGTCTAAACCTATGGAAAACCTTTCCTCTGCACGGCATCGGGCAGCAGCGTTGCTACAACGCTTTGACATGTATGGCTTCACGTATGCGTATGCGTTCATATATTCATTGAGTAACGCTTCATATCAATTGTACTTCATAAATGAAGCGATGAGAATACCAGCGCCGATGTGACTGTGCGGTCAGTTATGGGGGGACGAGGTGGGACCCTTCAGGAACGAACAAACAAGCAACAATACACTAACCTCAGGGATTAGTCCTTTCCGAAATGCGCGGAACGCCACAGAATTGCACGACCAGCCCATGCCTCGTGACATCGCTACCTGCCTGCACCCTCGACCGGTGCGCCAATGTTCCATGCCGTCCGACATCGGCAGCGTGCCATACGTTCGCTACTAGAGCAAAACTGCTCAGGTCTTGAAGCGGACGTGTTCGTCTGCAACGCGTCACACGCGCATTTGGTTTTGAATACATCTTTGACGCAAATGAATTTCTCCAGTAATCCCAAACTCAAAAACAGCCAAAAAAATCGTTGGACGAAGAGCAGTATAGGACCAATGTGCAGAATGTATCATAATATAATAATCACCCCATATATATAATTCGCTTTGTCGTTTGTTTGTTTGTTTGTAAGTTTGTTTGTTTGTAAGTTTGTCTGTCCGGAAATTCGGTTCGACCTGAAGAACGACTTGGAGAGGTCGGGTCAAGGTGGGGATGGGTAGGGCATGGGACAAGAAATAAAAAGCACACTTGACCTATGGGAAGCCCCGCCCACAGTGGGCGGGGCACTCGCCGAAAGTTTGGGGTTCCGCAGAAAAATGTTCATAATTCGCTTCCGGAGCAGCTTAAAGATGGGGAAAAAGGGAATAAGGTTAGTAAGGAGTCGCCAGACTAACTGTGGCAGGTACACCCTAAATGGGCGGGGCGTACTCAAGGTGGGCGGTGCTTCTCGCAAAATTCAGTAACCCGGTTCGCGAGAGTGTTTGGAAGTCGCAAAAACTCAGTGTAGAATGTAAATATCTGGCGAATATAGGGCACGCTCAAAGTGTGTTGAGACCCGCCCACAGTGGGCGGAGCTTGCCCTAAATCGCAGGGTATTCATTTTAAAAGTTTGTAGCTCGGTTCCAGAACACTCCAGATACCGGAAAAAAAGTGGATTAAGTTCAGCAGAGGGTCGTCGGTTAAGATTGTGGGGCAAAAAATTGTGGGCGGAGCCTGCTCCGAGGTGGGCGGAGCCAGACAAAAAAGGTCTGTAAAACGGTTCCAGAATACTCCAGACACCGGAAAAAAGTGGATTAAGGTCAGCAGAGGGTCGTCGGTGAGGATTGTGGGGCAAAAACATTGTGGGCGGAGCCTGCTCCGAGGTGGGCGGAGTCAGACAAAAGATCTGTAAAACGGTCCCAGAGCACTTCAAAGAGCGGAAAAAAGTGGATCAAGGTCAGCAGAGGGTCGTCGGTGAGGATTGTGGGGCAAAAACATTGTGGGCGGGCCTGCTCCGAGGTGGGCGGAGCCAGACGAAAATTCCCTAAAACTGTCCCAGAGCACTTCAAAGACCGGAAAAAAAAGTGGATCAAGGTCAGCAGAGGGTCGTCGGTGAGGATTGTGGGGCACAAACATTGTGGGCGGGGCCTGCTCCGAGGTGGACGGAGTCAGACGAAGAATCTGTAAAATAGCTCAAGAGTACTTCAGACACCGGAAAAAAATGGAGTACAGAACAAAAGGCGGATATCAGTTGAGTCTAGAAATATGTGAAAGAAATACGCGCGGCGAAGCCGCGCCCGCCCGGCGCAGCCGGGCCGTATCAGAAGGAGCCACGCCGGCGTCAGCCGGCGAGGCGACTGGTAAATATAAATAATATACATTGCACAAGAATTACGCTCTTTCAACAGTGTTAGGTCATGTTGTATGCAAGACGCTATGGTGACTTGCTCAATGTGGCTGGTGTCTCCTAGCTAGTTGACCCGTGTTACCGAAGCGCTTCTAGATTAGGTCGGTTGCGAAAGCCTCGCACGGGACACCCCTTGCAAAATGTCATCGTCGCGCAGCCGCAACCAGGGTCTTCCAGCCGACTTGAATGGCGTAAAGTTCACATTTCAAGAGTCCAGAGGCAGTCGCTGTTCACGCAGGTTAACCAATAACATCATCATAGAATATATTTATTGAAAAGGGCATAATGAAACAGTGGGAACGAACTACTTAACGAGGAAGGAAGGCGTTCCTGAGCCCTTGTTCATGGGTTTTCACACCTAGAAGATATCTACCGATTCAAGAGACTAGAATACACTAAACTTTTAAAAAGTTAATAGAGAAAGTGATTACGACCAGCTTTCAGGAATAATTTATAATTTCATGGTATTCCTCAGATATTTGTTATTATACGAAACAAATATTCAAAAATATGGAGCGAAAGGCAGGAAATTCGCAAGGACACCAGTTTTCATCAATTCGATCGTTGAGTATAGTGCGCATGGAAACCCAATGGAATCCGCGACTGAGGAACCATAAAACGAGCCTGCTCCTCCATGGTTTCAGCGTCAAGCACCACAACATACGGTGTGTCGCCTTCTCGACACGTGACCACCGGCACAATCAGTACTCCTTCAATGGTTGCATTATTTAACAACAACAAAATAAAATTGTTCTCAAATCTCGTGGTAATCAAAAACTGTCACCTGAGAACAGTGAGTGAAGCAACCATGGACGCAGTAAAGAAAAAAAATGTTGAGCACGTGTGGAAGGATAGGTGGACAAGACAATCGTGGTAGGTCGCGTCGTCGCGCGCGGCGCGTGTCGTTCGGCAAATCCTCGGTATCTACCACATCATCGATCGGAGCAGCGAAACTCATACGAGATACCGAGTTATTTTTTTCGCCCCTTCAGCACTCATTTGGAACGATCATGCAGGACAGCTCGTCCGGTGGGCGCGGCGTTCGCTCGCCACGCCCATCAGCGCGGCTTATTACGATTATCTTGCTCCGCACCAGTGTAGCAGGTGTTCTTAACGCATAGAAACCTGCGTGTCTAGATGAGAGTTAAAGGAATACTTGAACGAGCCGTGCCAAAATATGTGCGCGACGGGTTTTTGTAACATGCAGTACATAACGGAGCGGTAAGTGAAGGCGTTCCTCCGCACGTACGTTTTGATGCGGCGTCAGCCCGATTCTACGATTCAATGCCAGCTCTGCCAGCTTGGGGGAGATAGTGATTGATGGAAATAGGCTGGTGCAGCGCTAAGAGCGCGTAGCTTTTGTTTTGTTCAAAACAGCTGTATTCGAGGAGACTGCTTCGCAATCACGCATAGTGTCCACAAATTTCAACAGTGAATCTGCCCGTGGTCACAATTCCATGGGGAAGTGAGCAGATTCCTATGGCATATTCAAGAAAAAAAAAAAAAAAAAAAAAAAAAAAAAAAAAAAAAAAAAAAAAAAAAAAAAAAAAAAAAAAAAAAAAAAAAAAAAAAAAAAAAAAAAAAAAAAAAAAAAAAAAAAAAAAAAAAAAAAAAAAAAAAAAAAAAAAAAAAAAAAAAAAAAAAAAAAAAAAAAAAAAAAAAAAAAAAAAAAAAAAAAAAAAAAAAAAAAAAAAAAAAAAAAAAAAAAAAAAAAAAAAAAAAAAAAAAAAAAAAAAAAAAAAAAAAAAAAAAAAAAAAAAAAAAAAAAAAAAAAAAAAAAAAAAAAAAAAAAAACAAAAAAAAAAAACAGAAAAACAGAGAAAAAAAAAAAAAAAAATAAACAACAAAAAAATAAACACACAAAAAAAAAAAACAAAAATAAAGAACAAAAAAAAAAAAAAAAAAAAAAAAAAAAAAAAAAAAAAAAAAAAAAAAAAAAAAAAAAAAAAAAAAAAAAAAAAAAAAAAAAAAAAAAAAAAAAAAAAAAAAAAAAAAAAAAAAAAAAAAAAAAAAAAAAAAAAAAAAAAAAAAAAAAAAAAAAAAAAAAAAAAAAAAAAAAAAAAAAAAAAAAAAGAGAAAAAAGGACCGCGGAAAAAAACAACCCGTCGGTATACCGTGGTGGTATGACCGACGGTGCCATGGAAGGCGAAAAAGAGAGCGCTCAATTAAAGGTCGATTCTGGGCCCCGCCCACTTGGCAATCCCTGCGCTATTTTCGGAGGGTCCAACATTACTTGCATTCTTCTGTTAGAAAAGCAAACCCCCGGGGAAACAAAAAAAAAAAAACCGCTTCATCCTCTTGAGATAAGTCGGGTTTGTTCACTAGCGATCGGCCTCCCTCAGATGGCATAAGTGGTCTTCAGCGTCTTTGCACCATAATTTCGAAGTTCCATCTTTCAGATCAACTTTAACCACCTGGAAATGAATGTCCGTAGTCCTCTAATGGATACAAGAGAAAAAAAAAAAAAAAATCAACAAGACGAATGAATAATAATAAAAAGCGAGAATGACAATAAATAAAGAATGATTATTAAGAGCTTCTCTCTTCATAAACCTGGCATTATCGTTGTGATCTTTTTTGATATGTTTTGCCAAATTGAGCTTGTTGAGATGGACAAGAGTTTATTGCAAAGGCTGACGCTTGACAGGATTGACATGCGAAGAGGTCCTACCTCCCAACTTATCACAGTAAGTCTTACTGACTACCAGTGAGAGCGTGTGGCATCGTCCCCCTCATGTGGTCCCATTTTCAATAAAAGCGTTCCAAAAACGTCACACGTCATTGTTTGTGAGCAAAACACCATTGCAACATGTCGCTGGGACAAAAGAGTGGAAATTAGCACAGTATTCGCTAGCTAGCTGGCTCGACATCCTGCAGCACGTCTGCGTTCAAGGACAGAAGTTCTGGCGCGAATACGATTTTACACCAGCAGCCGTGCCGCTGCGACACGGATTTCCTGATCCACACACTCTTGCCTAGCCTTAACCGTGTGCCGGTCTGCGTAGTAGCGACTTCCTGAGTAATATAAGTGCGGGGTGCAAATCTTTCGAAGCAGTAGGTTAGGAATGGAACATTATATGCAATGAATGAATAAAAAATTAACTCACTCCATTTTTCTCGCTCTCTTCGTGAATAAGACAGGAACCATACACGTATCGATAGTCGCGCATATTGAGGTCATAGCAGTAGCGAGGGAATTCTAAGGCTGAAATAGACCGTATAATATGTTTTACTGTCGTAAGTACTAATTAATTTTACATTCTGTGGAACATAGAAAACGTACATATATCACTTAATTTCATGTCTGAGCAGTGAATACTGCCGTCATCCTGAAGGATTGCCCTGCAGTCACCAGCAAATTCACAGGAAGACAGTAAATCATCACCCGGTTTGCTTTCATGCTGCTACATTCACACGGTGATGATCATTCGATGCGAGAATATGGCCTTGAAACCAGATTCTCTGAGAATATCAGCTTTTAGATTCTTGAGCAACTGTGGTAAGTAGGGATAGATCAGAAAAAGGCAAAACTAGTCCACTTTAGTCAAATTCAGCACCACCGTTGTAAGTGGCAGAGTTCGGGAGCAGCATGATAAGGAAGTGAGAGCAGGGTGCTGGCACTGAGTAAAGCTTCGTTCATGCTTCTGACAGCGTCCACCAAGTTTGCCAGCGTACAGCAGCATCCAGCAGTGGGGAGTATGGGAAGATAGAAGGGTAGAAGACAGCTGAATTAGGCGTCGTGAAACTATGACGCGTGCAGTCGCACGTTACAACTGCACCTACCGTACATCAAAGATTGTATAGTTCTCTGGTTTAGCAGTTGTGCCGTGCTGTTGCACACGTCAATTTCACGAACCCTTGCAGTGTCATGAGCCGTTATCCAGCTGTCTGCTACCCTCTCAATTCCCCATACTCCCCACTCCTGGATGCTGCTGTTCGCCAACAAACGCTGGTAGACGCTGGCGTTCGCGGAATTAACATCATCACTTTCTTATGGGCTGACGCTCGCTCGGAACGCTGTACGCTGGTGGACGCTGCCGCGAATGAACGCAGCCTAAGCTAACTGGGGCGAGGGACGCGACAAAATGCTGAGTCACCCAGTGCCACGGTTGATGTGTCCTGAGACAGATACAGTTAGGGGTGCATTCATACTTTTCACCGGCTTTTCGCTTTGAGCGTTTTCAGAGCTCTGAACGCCAACTGATACTGGTAGTATGCTTTTTTCGCTCAAGGTGCTGGTCGAAAAAGCCCGAAGTTCCGCCCCAGTGTCGCCGCCACGGGGTGTGGTTTCAGGACATCCAAGACGCGCAAACTAGCAGATTATTCCCTAGCTAGTCGAGACGCTGCCTGGCCACGTTGAATAGTCGGATCCTGGTGTGAACACCAAACACGTGATTATCGCTTGATATCGCATCTTTAGCCACATTGCCGCCGTCTGGATGTGCTGAACTACACCTGTCGCAATGTGACTCCCGCTCAACTACCTAAGCGAACAGACGATTTTGGTCAAACGGCGAAATAGCATAAGTAGGGGTAAGACATCGTTATGTAGAAAAGTAGTCTGGAAGGACAGAAAGATTAGGGGAAGGGGGGGGGGGGAAAGGCCTTATTCTAAGTGGGTAGGGGACGAACTCCCCACAAAATTCTTGCGAGGGTTCTAATTTTTGCAGTTAACCTAATAATAGCGTTTAGTGCTTCTAAGGCAGCCTACCTTCATGCGGAATCCTCCTGTACGCATATGCTCCAGAAGTAAATCACCGAAATTGCCCGGTTTCAAAATCTTTGCATAATCAAGAACAAGAAACCGTCTTTCTCGTAGGAATTTGCATGGTGGAATGTGAAGAATGCGTCTGATGTCACCTAAAAGGCACAACGCATAGCCGATGTCACTGAAGTCAGTCGGGGGGGGGGGCGTAGGTTTTGGCGCGGTACCAGCACCCTTCCACCACTCATTGAACGCCGGAAGCCGGCCGCAAAAATCGATGGAAAACGGGCTGGTGCCGCGTCAAAATCGACGCCCCAAAAGAGTTCCGTGATAACAACTTTACTGGGAATTCCATATACCCTATCTGCCGTACCTTTCGCTTGACACGTTCTCTTTTGATCCGATCGAAAAGAATAACATTGACGCCGACATTTTCATCCCAGTACATACAGTCATTAAATGACATTGACGCTATCTGCCTGAATATAGCTGAACATGACAAATCCAATCATTATCTTTGACATGTTGTCCTCACAGTAAAACCAATCAGTTGTTGGCAGGTAGTGTAAGAATACAAAGGTGGCAGTAACAACAGGAGATCTGAATAACGCTTGAGAGAGGGCACTCCAAACTTTCCAGACACTCAGCGCGTTCGTGCCTTGCTATAAGAGCAACTATTCACTCTAGCCGATTGACTGCGGCCAATGGCGCTCCACTGCTACTCGTTGGACCATTGTAACAGAGAAGGACAAGACTTACCTCAACTGTTTTATCATGCCTTTGTGCCTTCTATAGACATTGTATCCAAACAATTAACCTTCAGCTAATCCTAGAGGAGGTGCCGAATGATGTCCAATTCCAAATGTAACTCATTCGGTCATGCCGGTCAAAGTCGCCACGCGATGTATCCAGGTCGCAAAGTATGAACGTAATTGTAGGCTACGCCCTTACCCTGCGACCTGGGATAATAAGAGAATAGACGATTCAATGATTTAGAAGACGACATGTAAAGTGTGACCTCGATCTCGCGATTGGGGAGATAAAAGAGCAGATGAGAAATCGATTCTGGCCACCAGCGAGTTGGAAAAGTGAGAGAATCGGTGGATCGGAAAAGGTTCAGTAACCTCTGAAACCCATTTCCTTTGACGGCGCCACTTTCTATTTTTCTCTGGGCTCCCTTGCTTGAACGGTGCTAAGTGACCGCTCTGACTTTCACGCCTACGTGGGTCATTCAACCACGTGTTCCCTCCCTTCAGGAAAACTCATCTTCTGGTCGCGTCATGTTTTCTGTACCTCACGATGCCTTGGCAGTCGCAGTCTTTCGCGTCTGCTTGCGCTCTGGCCTTGCGGCAGGACACCCGTTTCGGTCGTCACGTGGCCCTCGGAAAGGCAGTGTTCAGACACCGCGACGACAGCGCTTCGAGCGCGTTCTATGCAGTCTATGCACATGCCTTCGACGGCATCGATCGCGTCGTAGACGCGACCGAAACGCTGCAGTCGCGAAGTCTGAACGCAGCAAAAGACTTACGCTGGCGTCCGGAGTCGACCGATTACTACGTTCTTCATCGCACATTCTTCTATTGTCCAATGTCGAAGAGAATGAATATGGCTTTGTGGTGGGTCAAATGAATCGTCAGGCAGCGTTTAAACTTTGCGAAACTGGAGAATCGAAGAAAGGGCGAGTATCTCGTTCGGTACGTGCCTTATGCTTTCTCACATTCTCCGATTCTCAGTTCTGCAGTTCTTCTTCTCTTGTTTTACGGGGGATAAACGCGATTTACGCAATCTTGAGTGTAGGAAAGTGCAGGTGTGATCTCGCGCCTTGAGCTCACGCTGACGCGAAGTATGTAGGCACTCGGAGGCTGCGTTTGTACTTGTATCAGCGTTTCGAGCATACGATAGAAACGCGGTCTAATCGCTCGCGAAGAAGAATGGATGTGTAACATGAGAATTTCTAGTTCTCGCAAGTCTATTGAACTTCATATGAGTTCTGACTGATAGTTGAAATAAATCAAGAACATATATTGGAACTCACTTGGTGATAAGCCTCATAAGGCTAATGCGTTCTGGTGTTTCGAACAGTATGAAGTAATTGTCAGTTATTCCAAAGGAGTGATAGTATCCGGGAGCCCATCTGTCAGTTGCTGGGATCGTCGCAAGGACTTCCGTCTGTTCCAAACTATGACTGCTTGACACACCTTAAACACAAATCCTTTTCCTTCTTGATTTGATTTGATTTATTACATGTACACATGTACATGAATCATTAGAAAAAAACAATTCAAAACAAACAACAACGTATGTCCATGGAACTGAAGTATATTCAACGAGAAAACATAAAAAGAGAAGAAGGGAAAAATGGAATAGTTAGGGCTATGGCACCGAGTCGACCTCCCAAGAATAAGCAGAAAATTTATAGGGAAGGAAATCGTAGGAGCTTTCATTTAAAGGCAGTTGGCACGATAAATCGCTATACAGGTGTAGGATTTGTACAACTGGCTTAACAGAATTCCGTGACCTCGGACAGGCGCTGCGTGAAGCCTTTTCCAAGGAGGGTACCTCTATAACGCCCTATTGAGCAACAACTTTACGTCCCAAACGCCTTCCTTGCCCGCCCGCCCACAAACGGACGACCGTTTCTGACGCTCGTATTCATTCATTTGCTGAGCAAATTATGAAGCAAAGGGATTGGTATGAAGCGGCCGTGATGCTGCATGCATACATGGGTACACATATGCAGCCGTACCTTCGGTAGCGGTGATTGGCAAGATGCCTACGGGAAACTCGTCCGAAATCGATTTACAAGTCACTGAGAACGGAGGCTTTTTCTTCGCCGGATTTTGACCGTTTCACTCCGTTCTTTCGCCATTTCCCCACTATACAGCGCCCTACTAGCATTTTAGGCTAAGTAGGAAACCATCGTGCCAACTGCCTTTAAACAATGCAAAGCCATTTTGAGCTGAGCTAGGCTACCGGGCACGATATGCTTCTTTGCAAACTTACAGAATTCAGTAGAAGCCCTCACAACAAAGAACTTTGCTCTGACATTTGATCTAGCCCTAGGGAAAAGGAGTTTAAATTTATCCCCTCTGGTGTTGGACGGACAAAGGGTGAGCGTGCCTTTTAAATCAACCACCGATCTTCCTGTCAGTACTTTGAACAACGTTATAAGGTCATTCTTTTTCCTCCTTTGGAGAAGTGATTCGATTCCAAGCATCTTATTCCTAACAGTACTTCTTGGTATAGCACTATAGACAAATCCCAGAGCCTTAGAGAATTTTGTAAAGGTCATACCTATTCAACCGAATAAGACTATGCCTCGAATGCACGTCTCACAATCACAAATATCGAGCAGGGGGCTCCAATACAAATGATATTGTAGCAAATAATTCAATAGGGCAGGAAAAAAAGCAACTAGAACTGACTGGAATGCCCTCGACAGGACCTCTCACTGATCCAAACTTGAAAAAGTACCCTACGAACAGGGGCGTCCTTAGACGTGCTCTACTTTCTGGCGCTTTTTGCTATCGAACCGCTACAGCAGCTTTTGTCCCTCAAAACCTCATTCAGACTATTCAGAATGGAGAAATCTAAACGAAAGAGCCCAGCATGAGCTATCAATCAGAGATGAGCACTGGGCGTGATGCGGAGCGGTGGGCGGCGCGCTGCCTTCGTCACGAGCTCCTAGCCTCCTTATCACCTATTTTTAAACCGCGAACGTCTTTCTGGAACAAGTTAGTCCTTTCCACAAGCTGCGCTTGTGGAAAGGACTACCTTGTTCCAGAAAGACGGCTGCACAGCGGGTGTATGTGAGATCTGCCTCGAACTGAATAGTGGTTGGAGCAGCCAGTTGATTGGCACTGGAGTACGGTTTATTGTACCCATACTGCTAGCTACAGTCGGTGTGAATGGTTATTGCCGCGGAGTGTGAACGCTGCCGTAGGCTGCGTTCATAACTGGCGCTAATCTGCGAGAAGAAATGTGTAGATTGCGTGGATTGCAAATTGGAAAGAAACGACACCACGCTATCAATGGACAAATAAATTAATTCACATGTGATCGGAAGACGGGCAAGAGAATCGTAATTTGCCGCTCCGCCGCGCGCGGCGATGGGCGCGGCGTTTTCTTAACTCGTGTTAACCTGTCGATTGGAGCACCGGACTTCATGTAGACCCCGTCATCGTAGACATTCATGACTATTTTCGGTTCTGAATTGCCTGTTGTCGCCATCTACTACCTGGAACCATCGTCATTTGCGGGCGCGACGTCGCACGCGACGCCCATCAGCGCGGTGAATTAGACCCTCTTGTCACATACCCCATATGATCACCTTCGCAAACGTCTGATTCTGCAAATTTTCTAGTTGGGTGGAATTACTGGTCAGTACTTGCACAATCCTCTCGCGAAATCTCTGATTCTCCTCAACGATGAGCGAAATGCAGCTCTACTGAGGTCGCGGTACGACTTAGTTAAGCTGGTCCCGCAACGGAAAGCAGGTGATTGGAGACGATATTTCTCATAATATTTTGACTAGCAAGCCTTTCCTTTTCTCTACGCATTTCAGCATTCCATGTCCTTTGGTAAAAAATAGACCCCTCAGATCCTTATATTTTCTTGGCATTTTTACAACTTCTGAATGTAGATAAATACTAAGTCGTAATTTGAATTTTTGAGTTTCAAGTGTGCTTTCATATTATTCATGTTCTTTTCAGATATTACCAAATAATGCAGTTGGAACCTCGATCAGAATCAGTGGATAGTCAGGTGACAGGATCCAACTTCATCTCAATCCAAAACCACCCCATGGTTGAGGGCAAATTCTACAAAGAATCCTATGTTGGCCTCTGGAACTCTTCCGCTGATTCCACTAGAAATAACAGAATTGTTCATAAGTGCGGTTGCAAGCAGAGAATTAGGCTGCATTTAAAGATAAGATAGATTAAGGGCAAAAGGAAGGTATACATTCGATTCGACTATGCGTCGAGATCTGATCTTCTGGCCTAGTCGAAAACATGGGTCAGGTAGCGTTCATACTTTGCGTCGGTGAAGAATTGATGAATGAAAGAACTGGAGAAATGCAGAACGGAAGTGTTCGCAAGCTGCAGAAATCGATACGTCTCTGATCGTTTTCATCAGTACAAGTCGTCAATTCTTCACTGTCGCAAAGTATATTCGCAGCATTCTTCGGAAGAATCGCATGGTACAAACACGGCTTAGCCCAAGACTGCATTCATACTTTGCGTCAGCGTTTGAGCGCATGCAGCGTTTCGAACAACTAGGAAAGTGTCGATATTGATCCATCGTTTCGAGCGTATACCTGCGTTTTGAGTGTTGCCGCAGGCTTTTGGCGGGCGTCGCTGAAAACGCTGGCGCATGCTCAAAACGCTGGATTGATACCTATACTAATGCATTACGCTCAAAACGCTGGCCTACACTCTAAACGCTCAAGAAACTGACGCAAAGTACGAACGTGGCCTCATCGTTTTCGGCGTGATTGCGGAGCTGTCTATATTGTCTAGTTTTGGAGATAGATATCTGCCGCAAATTGTTATCCCTACTGTTGTATGGAATGCAGCATTCCTAGCACATTTCATTTACCCTAATTTCTTCAGTATGAAATGCTCCTCATGTACATCTTCTCTTCAAACATTCTGGATGTTATATGATCTAATTCTTTCCAGATGTGTGATGTCCCTCTAATGTACGCGGGACTTTGCTCCAAATTGGATGAAGACGAGTACGTCGAATTCAAAATGCACCTGAAAAACGCTTCCTATGAGATCTCACAAAGGAACGAAGGAGAGGTCATGGTGCGCCAAACCCAACCGCTAAGCCAGTGAGTTTGCACGGCTTTTGAAGATGGCTGAGAATACGTACTACTAAAAGTAAATGAGGGTACAGAAAGTGTGAGCTCTTTGTGGTCTGTCTTCCTCTTTCTCCCCAGTTACCCTTGCAATCCCTTAGATGGGGTAGGCGTGGCTGCGTACTTCAACCAAACGTGGCGGTGCCTTTGGTGAGATATTTTCATTTTGACTCAGTTGTGGTCATGTCTCTGTCCAACACTGACCAAGATGACACTTGTCTCAACCTGAAATAGCCAACGAGTAACCCGTTCTATACATGCTTGAATGCCACGCCCACTCCGTCTCAGGGATAAGGAGTTTATGTCAGCGACAGAAACTAACTGCAGTTCTCTTTCATCACTATGTTGAGGACCATTTGTGCGTTTCTGAACACGGATGGTGGCCGCCTTTATATCGGGATTGATGATACTGGAATGATTCGCGGTGTTCATTTGAACAACGATATGGTCAGTTATTGCACTTACTAGCATATTTTTCAGTGAGACTCCTATTAATCATTTTTCCCGAAAATATTTCGGAAATTTTTTGAAGTCAGATCAAGTGTTGGTTTCGTGGAGTCTAGTTCAAAACATTCAAGGCGCACCATCGGAAGCTGATCAACTGGAATTCCTAGTTAGATAACTTGACGCAGTACTTTGGTGTCTTGTCAGTGGCGGCATCGCATGGCAGACTGCGTACACACCGTTTATTTCCGACCTTCTCTCAGTTTGTCGTGCTGGCAGGTGTGCCAAGCGATGCAGCGCCGCGAGTCCTGCTCTCGAGAGTCCTGGGTAGGATAAGAATGGTACGATCGCACCTCGTTAACGACTTCTCGCACCTGGATTCGAGGCATAATTAGCGAGGTGCGAAGAAACCTCATTAAGCCGATTAGCGAGGTGCGAAGCGACCTCATTAGCCGAGGCACGTCGTGCTCAACTGCAGCTGACCTCACTTCAAGGAAAAGCTATTAAGCTATCCAAATCGGAATAAATCCATTGCAAGATTTCGGTAAAGTGGGTAAAAAGATTGCCATATATTTCATATATTTATTATTATTACTTAAACAAGAACAAGTGTACAAATTATTATCAATAATTAACAAATGTATTATACAGTTTTGTTTGTGACGAATTGAGACATTTTTATGCAGTAGCACTCTATTTGGGCACTAGATACTCCCTGCTGATAAAGTTCGTTGAATCTGAAAATAAGTACAGTGTCTTTGAGAGGTGCAATGAAGAAAGGGATCTGAAAGGTGTCCTACTTTGCCATTTCCTCAGATATTTTCTCTTTCCTCGCCATGTACACCTCTCGCACTGTCTTAGCGTGGGTGTTGCTGAAGAGGAAGTTGCCCGGGAGGTGGAAAAAGTGTATGGAGAGAAGGGCTCCACGTAGTAAGAAGTTTCTGGTACAGGGATAACGGTGTATGTTGGATCCCGAGCGACGTAGTAGAAAGGTGCCGGCGCGGGGGGGGAACTATGTGGTGGTGCAAGCCCTACGTCGTACGAAGGTGCTGGTGCCGGGGAAAAATTGGGTGGCGGTGTTACATACAAAGGAGTGGGGCACGATGTCTGAGGGAACCCTGGAAAGGTTTCATACACATAAGAACGGGAATCAGAAATTTTTTAATTTCCTGATAGTTTAGTTTTCACTCGATTTATTCCGATTTCGATAACTCAATGATCTCTCATTGAATGAGGTCACTTCGCACTCGAGCACGATTTCCCCCTGCTTAATGAGGTCGCTTCGCACCTCGTTAATGATGTCTCGCACCTAGGGGCGAGGCATAAGCGAGGCATAATTAACGGAGGTGTGATCGTACCATTTTTATCTAACCCGAATCGATCGCGCGCCGCGAGTCCTGCTCTCGAGAGTCCTGCTTCCCCTGTCCTGCTCAGCGATTCGTATTTGATCCGTGACAGCACCATGTGTGGATGCTAAAGTGTTACGATGCTCCATAACGCCAGTTATGACAGCAATAGACGGTGTAGAAAATGGCAAAAAACACGTGAAATTGTGGGAATTAAGGATAAAATGAACAAATGTGCAACGATTCCCGTAAGTTTCACTGCTCCAGTGGAGAAACCGACGTAAAGTTTGGATTTCCTGCGCCCATTGCCGCGAGCAGCTACACTGAAAATTCCCCGCGCTCATCGTTAAAGGGTGCGCGCGGAACGTACTTCTTTGTCCGTTTCCCGTGTCTCATCTGTGACTGCGCTTGAGCGCAACGCCGCACCCCGAATATCATCACTGATGTCTCGTTTCGAGTAAAACAGTGGCATTATTGCAATGTTCACGTTACCCTCCGCAACTCCAATCGGCAAAGGAACCAGATAATACAGATACGGATGATGTAAAAAACGCTGCCTATCCTCTTATGGTGTGACTCATTAAGGGCAACATGAACTACCAGCTAATTAACAAGATTATAAGGGAACTACCTTTCACGTTCAAAAATTGGTACGGCGAGGTCATAGTAATCTCAGGATGTTACTTCAATAAGCCGCATATTTTCAGATAGACTAGTTTATTTTTTCAGAAAGACCACTATTTAGCGTCATTAAGCGAATGTCTCTACCACTTTGTGCCACCAGTTCCACCTGAGCTCATTAAAGGTAAGAAATCTCGATGGCGGAATTCTGAAAGTGATCTTAATATGGAATTGTGCATTTTTCAGTTGGCTTCATCAGAGTACACGAATTCGGCCGCCTTAATAAGCGCCCAGATCCTGATTGGCCTACTGAGAAACCTAATGACTATCGTGGTGCTTTTGCTGCAGATATAAAATATGTGGTGAGTAGCATTACCTTTCATTACTGGAAGAACAGTAAAGGTCATGTGCTCCAAGTACGTGGAGCTGGTGCCATTATCATACATCGCTCCCTGATGCTTCAGAGAACGCAAAACACATGAAAGAGGCGCCAAAAAAATTTTATGCAAAAAACTCAAAAGATCAAAAGAATCCAAAAGTTTTCGCAAAAATTTTATTGTTTATATTCCTTCCTTCGGATATTTCGGTGCCTTAGCACCTTCTTCAGATCTGAAATACTACAGTTAGCTCCCTCCAATCGAAACCTGGACCCTGCTCCACTAGTGTGCTGCCTCCAATCGAGATCTGCCTCCGCTGCCTCCTTTCGATTGGAAGAAGCTAACTGTAGTATTTCAGATCGCTGAAGAAGGTGCTAGGCACCGAAATATCCGAAGGAAGGAATATAAACAATAAAATTTTTTGCGAGAACTTTTGGATTCTTTTGAGTCTTTTGAGTTTTTTGCAATAAATTTTTTGGCGCCTCTTTCATGTGTTTCATGTTCAGATTACAATGAGGCTCCGGGACAGCACAATATTAAGCTTCTAAGGAACATAGGGCGCGTTCGCAGTTGCGCGTTCGTCCGCGAGATTGCGAAGTATGAACACGCTCATAGAGAACGACAGGTGTTGTGCTCAAAAATATTTCAGTCTTCAGGCGGTCAAAAGAGATGGCATCAGATAATCTTTAAAGCAACTTAACTATAATGTCAAACAATTGTTATAACATTGTCATGACCTGTCGTTTTGAATTTCATGCTGCGGCGACGCGACACTAACGCGTCCTGGTACGAATCCCACCCACGTGCACACCACTTGCAACGCCGCAACATGAAAATCATGTGCCTTTTGAAGATTACAAAAGTCATGCAGTTCTTCGCCTGGTTCACTCAAGAAAAACATTTTAACAGCGATTGTTCAGTGCGACAAAGAACATTTGCTCGGAAAGCAGAAATGTCCATGTCAACTGGGTGTAAATGACGAAACGAATCGCTACTTAGTAGTTGTAAAGGTATTCTTTCAGTTCTATTACTTATTAAGATAACTTTATTCCCGCAAGGTTACCACATGTTCGAAAAGATGTCACACTGAGGCACTATCGGACTGGGCAGGCAT